GTAAATCCTCCCTCGAAAGACTTTGCTGGATGTGAAGGAGCAGAATTCACAGTCAATTACTAAAAGGATTTATGTTGGCGCGACCAGGAGTTTACTTCCTGCTCTCGGGAAGTCTCGGTCAGAACAGAACGGATCACCCTAGTTTGTATGTTTTCCTGCTAGTTCATCTGAAGGATTTCTCACTTCTCTTGCCTTTCTCTTTCTTTAGACCGCTCCCGGGCCTAAAAGTTCACCCCGCTTCCTTCGCCTTCAAGAAGTGACGACGGCTTTGGCCCACGACGCTGCCTTCCTCATTTGCACTACTGCGGTTCCAACGCAGGGATTTTTGGTTACGAGAGACATTTTCACCTTTTGGGGAGTGGGGGGGGGGGACTTGGAAAATGGAAACCGTCCCACCCAAAAAAATATATGAAGAAACGGAGGAGGGAAGAGTCACCAAAAACCTTTTGTGGGGCTGTGGAGAGAGTAAGGCGGACCTCGAGACCCGTGGCTTCATCTGATCCGCCGAAGCTTCGTGAATGTGACGAGATTCACGACCTACCTCCTTGTTTTGCACAACCTCGTGAGATGTTTTCCCTCCTGGAACGCCAGTTTTGGGGGGAACCTGGTCCTGAAGTTGGTGTCACCGATTTACAGGTGGACACCCTCCCACCCACCCACCTCCGCCAGGTTTCCAGATGTACGATGCAGCAAACCATGAGATGGAAACTTCTCCATCTGGACATCCAGGCGGGATTTTGGGTTGAGCTTAGATGGTCTGGAAGAAAACAGTTTGGGAGAAATGATGCAGAAGAAGGAGGAGTTGATGAGCTTTGCTTGAGTCCTCCTTGACACCCGTTCCTTCCACCTGGAGAAGAAGGCCATCTCAGAACATCTCCCCTGATTCCAGAAAACAGGAAGGGCCTTGGGAAGTGCCTCCCCTGATTCCTTGGAAGGGTGCTGTTGGCCAGAACAGATGTTCCTTGGGCAACGTCTTGGTTCCTTGAAGTTGGGCGATCCAAGATCTTCATCGGGGGGCAGAAGACCTCCTTCCACTCTCTCTCTTTGCCACAGTTACAATGGAGGGCCATTTCTACCCTACACATCTATTTGGACAAAGTTCAGGAAGACTCCCTGTAGACCATCAACACAACAACCCACAACAGTCAACCCTACTGGAGTCCATGTGGTTGGCGGTGAATTAAAAAATAGGACCAGGGGGATGAAGTTCTAGCTTTTCTGTGGGAACGGAAAGATTTCCCTCCCAAGAAAATCAGGTCCAACTTTTGTTTTGAAGGGTGAAGGCCAGCAGAAGAACAGCACAGGGGAAGCAACGTTCCTGACTCAGTACAGGCCCTGTTGACTGGCAGTGGGAGAATGATTATGGGGTCATCATAGATGGTGGACCATCCTCTCCCACTCCGTCCCACCACTTAGGCCCAGGAACATCATAGATGATAGACCAAGTCTTGAAGGACACTCAGCATCTTCTTCCTGTCCATCCTCTCCCACTCCATCCCACCACCCAGGGCCAAGAACATCATAGATGATGGACCAAGTCTTGAAGTCCACTCAGCATTTTCNGTTTTGTCGGGACCATGGATCAGCTTTGTGCTTTTTGGGGAAACATAGGTCAGAACACTTATCCACTAACCCCAAACTGCCTCTTTTCCATCATTATTCATGATGGGCCTGTAAAAGAATTTGATTGCCACCACCATTGAAACTACGGGCAAGTTATGAAATGTGCATTATATTCCTACCAAAATTCAAAATGAGATTAGAAATGTTTCATTGTATGTCACACGGAACTACAGATGTGTGAAAATGCAAGGTATGGAGTAAATACCTTTCACAATTATGTGCATTTCATGTGTTTGTTAGGAGAGGAGGGACCTTATATTGAAATCTATCCACTTGCTGTGGATCTAATTACTGTCAGGATATTAACTTCAGTCTTAACAATGCTTCGGAGTACAGCTTTACTGTATTTTACCCTCTGAACACAAGATACAATACCACCGATTGCTTCAATATTTTAATTCTCAGCCGGGTAGATTCACATTATGTCAAAAAGAAAATATAGATGCTTTATCTACAAGGTTTGCATCATGACCCAAGCATATTCCAAAGAAAAATAACGCAACAGAATCCACTTTTTTCTGCACAAAAGAAAGCAGTGTCTTCTTTAATGAAAACTCAAATCGCACAAACCCTTGATTTAGTAGGTCATTTTTACAACATACATTTGGTTTTCATTTGTCCAAGGCACCTGTAAAAACATTTGCTGGTGTGAAACAGAATGGATCGTGGTCCTTTTGAGTGATTTGGGTTGAGAAAGTCTGCTTATTTGTCTTCAATTTTGAGTTGTAGGAAGGTGTTCTGCAGCTACGTGTTTTTCAAAACTTGGTGGAAAACGTCCAGTTTATCAATCCTAACATAACGCTGCCGATATCTTTAAAGGGAAAGAATTGCATAGATTTGTTCTGTTTCTCAAAACTGCAAACAATGTCTTCAAAACATGTAATACTGGATACAGTGAGCATTGCTTGCCTTTTAATATTTTAAGTTCAAGAGGAATTTGAGCACTTGACGATATGGGAAAGCTCTATTCTATTAGAATTTCTATGCACGTAAAAAAAAAAAATGAAGTTTCAAGTCAAAATTATACAGGCAAAGATGCAGGGCAGAGTAAAATCACATTTGTTGTTCTCCCTTAAGGAGGATTACAGAATAAGTGGCTAAGACTTAAGAAGACGTGAGGATGAAGAACAATAACGGTTCAGCAAAAACAGAAGCCGCCTGATTTTTTTTTAAAAAAAACAACAACAACCAATGCCATCAGTGTCTATACACAATATTCCTGGCTTTGGAGAGAGGACCAAAGAAGAATACGATGTAAGTTCGGTTTGAATTTTAACGTTCAACGATAACGTTTTTGAAGATCGCGGCTGTCCCGTATTCCCCCAAGCCAGATGACTTTCAAGATCATGCAAGCTAGGATCTCTTCGTTGAAGAGGGATTAAAAAAACACTTTTACAAAAGTTATGATCGGTGTGAATACAATGAATACAAATAACTGTATCAAAACATGCTAAAAAGAGCTTCTTCCCGCCTACCTTTTGCTACCCAGAAAAACTGCACCGTTAAGGACTCAGCTGTTCTTACAACTTCCTCATTTCATAAGCCCTGCTTATCACTGTTTCCCCAAGTCTGTTTTTTTTTTTAAACAAAGTTGAATTGGCAATCTCTAACTCTGCTCATCTAACGTCGCCCACAAAGTTACATATGTATTGCAACCTCTTATAGGTCTAAAGTGGGGTGCAGTTTCAGAACCCCAATGCCTGCTTGTCTGCCTTCCTTCCCCTCTGAGACACACACAACAATTATTATACAGTCTTTCTGAATTCCATGATCTCCCCAAAACAGAATATAAAAATAAGTGTGAGAAATACTCCTGTGCCAAGACCTTACTTGGGATGTATTTTGACAATGAAGTAAAGGTATTTTCCATCCAGCCATTTCTCCTGGATGCTCAAAGACAGAATTTATCTCTTTTTCTGCCTTGGAATCTGTCCATTTTTATAACATCGCAATCCATTATTCGGTGTAGTTGATTAAGTAAGAACTCAATAATTTAAAATATTGAAGCATTTTCAACACTAAAGGATCCCTTCCCTCTTCTCCAACTAGTGCAATGCTTTCCATGCACCTCTGGAATGCACAATAGAGGCCATCAAAAGAATTTCTTTGCTGCTGCTTCTTGCTGAGTCCTGCAGACGCAACAGAAAGATAAATCCATTAGCTCAACTGACTTCAGAAAGCTTTTTGTCTATCTCAATAAGTGATTCTTTCAGAACCAGGAATGCTCTGAAATTTAGAGGAGACAGGGCAGCCCCCACCGTAAGCTTCTGGGGCTGAAATTTAATCTGAAATAATTAAGCTCACTACAGTCTTCAAGATCTCCAAACCAACTTAAGGCTAACTACTGAAATAAGATTACCCATTACTTCAAATCACGGTGAAGTGACTGACAGAAGCCAAGCCATTTAGACCAATATTATTTCCCACGAAAAAAAAAAGGTTTTTGCCCTCCCTGTCTCCCAGGAGCACTCTGCAGGCCTCCCAAACCCTCTGCATGCCCCATTTTTTGTGAAAAAGGGGCATGCAGAGAGTTTGAGAGGCCTGCAAAGGGCTCCTGGGAGACGGGGAGGGCAACAATGCGATGGGGTGGTGGTGTTGGGAGGCGACAAAAGGGCCCGTTGTTTGCAAAACCGGGTGTGCAGAGGATGTGGGAGGCCTGTAGCGTGCTCCTGGGGGCTGGGGAGGGCAAAAACAGCCCCATTTTTGAGAAAAACAGGCCCACTTTTCCCTCATTTTTGCCCTCCTTAGCCCCCAGGAGCACTTTGTAGGCCTCCAAAACCCACTGCACATCCATATTTGCAAAAAACGGGATGCGTGGGGAGGGGTTTCGGGAGGCCAAAAATGCTGTATTCAGTGTATAAGACGCACCTAAATTTTCACCCTTTTGTGGGGGGGGTGCATCTTATATTCCGAAAAATACAGTAGTTACATGTGACAGTGAGAATGTGAATTATAAGGATTTTTTTTTTAAAAAAAAATACACTTTTGAAAATTCCTAGGCATTTATATAGCAAAGACTCCACAAACATAATGGCAAAAGTGCATTTGTGCCAAGGCACCAGCATCTTAAACCCACTAGTGCCAGGGATAAGCAGCATCTCCCTGTGTGTTTCTTACCATTTAATTTTATGTGCCTGGTACATTTTTAGGGCTNCCCAAAACAACTTTTAAAAATTCCAACCAATGCAGGAAAAGAAAAATTCTGAAAAGTATTTGATTCAGATGAGCACTAAGGAAACCTATGAAATTCCATACCTAAACAAGCTTGTAACTGTGGTTACATTTAGGGAATGTCTTAAGTATTTCTCTTTCCCCAACCTAGAAATCTGGAAATAGAGAAACATTCAAAGGAAAGGGTCCCATTTACGTGGAGAAACCATTATGAAAAATTAGAAATGCTTCTGGAGAATAAGTAATGGTACGGCCTTAACCCACACAGGCATTAAAACATCTACCTCCCTGGATCTCCGGTCTTGTGAATTTAAACAATCTAAATCAGTTTGCACACTGAAAACATAAGGAAGGTGTACTTACTTCTCCTCTATCACCTGCTTTTGATATTCCTCATATTCTTCCCTGGTCATTCCTGCTGCTGCAGCTGGATCAGCAGGGGCTGCATCCTCCGTCTTTTCTTCTCCCCCTCCAGAAAGCCCCAGATTTTTCACCTGGTTACTCAACATACTTTTCATCAGGAAAGCCATGTTCTCTCCTTTTTCTTTTCACCTTGCCAAGTGGGTGGGTGGGTGGGAAACAAACAAAGGCCACGAGGAAACCCACAGCCCGGAGGGAAAAAGAATGAACCAATCAACAAATGAAATTTCAACAGCCCCAAACAGCTCTTCTAGGGCATGGTATTAAAGAAAACTCTATGCCAGAAACAGTTCGTCAACTCTAATCTGGATTAAGGCGGTATACTCCTTAGCAGCCCTAGGCAGATGGTTCAGATTACCAATGGGGGTGGGGGAAGGAACATCATTAGATTTTGTATTTAATTTTTGTATTAATACCTTAAGCTAATTTTTATTCTTTTCAAGAGACGTGGAGGGGTGGGTGGGCCGGAGATGCGGGGAGAAAGAGATGAGAACTATAGAGATCTAATTTGTTTTTCCTTTGTTCACATACATTCAGGCATAAAATAAGCCACTAATGGCTCCATTGTTTGAATTCTAATAGCTGGATGTGGTTGATTATGTGAATTTTGTGGAGCAGAGCAACAATAAATCAGGTTAGAAAGATTAAAGAGATTTGAATGGTTGTGGAGGGAGAAGCAAGCTCCTTCTTTAAATGAGAACCAATCCTTTTATTCATGGATATTTTATCCACTGGCATTCAATTCCTCCAGTATATTTTTTCCCCCCAGACTTTGATTGGTGATTATACATTTATGCTAGAACAACATTCTGTATCTCTCCACATTTGTGGTCTGTAAAGATTTAGCACATTTTAGTGATTTGTTAANCCCGCTTGTCGCGTCCTTTCCCTTCGCTCCAAGATGCAAAATCTATACTGTATATTTTTGTTTTGTTTGGGGGTGGGGGAAGGAGGGTTTTGCCTTCAGGTCAGAGTTTGCTCGTGGTGAATATAAGGACAAATCCATGCAATTTTCAAGGCAGCATTTGCTACTGAGTTCTTCCCAGAGCTAAGGTGAGGGCAAGTGGCTAAGGTCACCCCTCTGGTTTCTGATTCTAAAATAAATTTAGAACTCAAGTTTCGGTGCTCCTAATCCGGTGCCTTAACGATTAGACAAAATTCTCTCTAATCTTCAACATTAGCACTGTCCAATACTAGTGGCATTGTTTACTAGAAAATGACCATGGAATTGTGTCAATTTTTTCCCCCCAAAAAGACACAATTATGAAACCATATAGGCCAATGATGGCTAACCTTTTTCTAAAGGCATGCCAAAATTGTGTGCACGCATGCCCCATCCACC